TCAGGCATGCAAATCTTTTTAACTTTTGCCTAAACAGTTAGCTTTGTCTCCTCATTTCTACTGGTCTAAATTAGACACAACAAAGGAGGATTATCTTCAACAGTCTGGTGTTCAGCAAACAGAACTTTTCTTCACATCCAGCTGTCTGATATGTTTCCCCACTAATGCTTGTTTGTTCTACAGATGCCCTATTTCACACTTTGTGGTTTGAGCCTCACACATCTGTGTTAGAGGTGTGTGTGTATTTGTGTGTTGGGTGTTAGTAGGCCTGTCAGGATATGAGGGGGCCAGCTGCTGCTCTCTGGACTGACCGATGGCAACAAAAACAAAATGAGAGCAAAAGAGGGAGGAATGTCAAGAATCTCATGGGAATTCAACTCTGACCATTTTGTGTTTGTTTTTAGGTCACTCTCAGACCAGCTTGTCTGCTTTAAGTCTGTCCAGATATTTATATTATGTCTGTTTCTTCATATGCATGTCTGTTGCATACGGTACATACATCCTTCATGGTGCTAATCGACAGTTGTTGGGTATACCTGTCCAGTCTATTGTTCGTTTCAGATCAAAGAGTGTAGATTTCTGTTATTTTTAAAACAAAAACTAGATTTATGTTTCCTTGTATCGGTCTGTTGCAAAAAAGTTTGCTGCTTTTTAAAATATATTACTTCTGTAAACTGAAAGGATATTCAAAAGCTTATTCTTTAGATTCAGAAATTTTTTTTTTTACATTATATAGAATCTATTATCGTCAAGATAAGCCACAGATCTGGAATTATAATATACAATTAGGTTTGTAACAATAAATCAATTAATTGCATGATAAATGAAAATATCAACCTCATTTTCATTTATCCGCTTTATCGTTTCTTCACGTATCTCTTTCTACAGAAGACACTGGAACCTCCGTCTTGTCAACGCTCTAAAATTCATGATTGAAACCTGTGCTTTCATCTAAAAAGTTGTTTTTCTCTGCAAAAAGAAGCTGATAACTTGTTTACTGTTTTTTATTAAAAGCTTCGGTTGACAAATTCTGTGCTAAAGAGCTCAAACCACACTGAGCGTCCGCCATTTTCAGAACTGAAAAACACGAATGAGAGACAGCCCATGTCACGTCAAGGGGCCTCCCTCCCATTTATCTTAGAGACACGCTGCTCACTCCCTCACAATCCATCTTTCGGTTCAGTCTTATACTGCCATCCAGCAGTCAAAAAAGGTACTACACACAAATTAATCAACATTTCTTCTTAAATTTGACAATTACTAATTATTGTCAAATTTCAAACAATTTTATTGTGACAGGCTATATACAATATAGCAAGACATTCTGTAAATAATGAAAAGGGAGTTAAGATGAAGTACTTGTGTGTAGGTAAAGTAAATGTTGCAGGCAGTTAAACTGTTGGATTATTTTAAGATGAATATTTTTTTAATGTAGCCAGAAATCAGGGATCAATGTTGCATTTGGAAGCTGACTGATTACCTTTAGAAAAGAAACAGTCAACAAAATAGTTATTTAAACTGCAACTGAGCAAAATGTTAATTATTTATAGAAATAGATTGTGGATCTACTGACTACTTACCACAGTCACTGGTTCATTCAGGGGTAGTTTTGCTAAATATTTTCAAAGAGAATGGAGTTAAATAGCGAAGATGTGGATTGTTTTTATTTAATAGAAATTGATATGAACAACATGGTGGTTTGCTGTGCAAATTAATTTTATAATATTTGGGCATCAACAAAAAAATTATTCTGTCCCACTAGTGGTGCAGTATCTCAAGACTGTTAATCTTGTTTTTCCTCCGCATGTTAATAAATGTTTCAATTTATCGCACATCTTGAAGTCGTAAAAAGTCTACTTTCTGTCAGTGTGGGTAAGGATTACAAATATTTTTAATGATAGAAGGATTGAGGCAAATTACTGGGACAGTGAAGGAAAATGGGGCAAAGAGACGGAGCATGTAAAGAGGTGGATTATCTGACAGAGTAGGAAGACAAAACATCAGGGATGAGCTGGAATAGTCGGCCATCCATAACCAGCATACAGGTCATTAGTCTATTTACAGAAGGCTGGCACTGTTTATTTGTCATGTGGAACCAATATTTAATTAAAGCTGAATGAGGGGAGGCTAACTGGGACAGGCCTGACCCCTTGGAGTTTAGACTCCATTGGTGACTCGCAGTTTGTCACTCTGTAAGCCTCTCGACCAGAGAAAGGAACAGTTATTTTCAGCTCACAAACCTCCACATCAGTTAGAGATATTGACACCTAATGCCATTTTTGTTTTTGCAGTCACTTAATGTTAGTTTTACATTTTCTCACCGTTTCCATTATTCGTAACCTTACAGTGTTTAGGTTTAAGGCCGATCTGACGTACAGATATTCAGCCTTTTGTGCTGATATTTCAGATAGTTTTAAAAAGTTGCACACAGTTCAAATCATTCTTTTTTTTTCTTTTTTACCAGCAAAAAGCTTACGATACTTATGGATAGTTAAATTGTCTAATATAGACCAATCATTTTAGGGTGTGATAGTTGTCAAAATAAACCATAACTTAATTTTTTTACGGTTTGTTTTATGTCGAGAGTGTCCGGTGTGACACCATCCAACCAAGAGAGCAAAGCTAACAAGACAAGCAGATGTGTAAACTCGTATTCACTCAGACTCCAGCCAGTCTTGTTTTCTTCTTCTTCTTGCATTGTTGGCAGTTTACACAACCTTTAAAAGCAGGGCTTCACACATCTATGCTATCACACCATGAAATGGCCTTTGTAGATACATGTACATGCTTGACTTCTGACTCCCAACCGTCCGTCCAGTGGATGAGTTCTTCGCTCACACAGTGACAAAATATCATCTATAGCTGTGTAAACATACTCAGGACACAGACTGAGAGTTTAAGAAAGTATAAAACCAAGAATTTATTGAAGTTTCACACCAGGTTGTGGTAATCTGACGAAGTGTCCAGATGTTATGCAGTCAATAATGCATTCACATTTTCTATCCTCCTCAAATGTGTCAATTATGGCAAGGCCTAATTAGTATTAACCACAACTGCTTTTTTTTTTTTTTTTTTTTTTTGCAGAGAAGTAAAGATTTCAGACAAATAATGCATTTAATTGAGGACGACAAAGATAACGTTACTAACACTGATATAAGTTTACCTCTACCTTTTACCTTTTATTGTTCTGGCTAAAGTTTTACAAGGCAATAGCCTATGCTAAAAGTTAGCTTGCTAACTTGCGAGGTACATAGCTAGTAATGAGCGGGTTGGAGGATTGAAGTGATTTTTTTATTTTTTTATTTTACAGATCAGTTACAATAAACTTACTGTTCTGTGCTGCTCTGTTCAGCAAAATATGCTACACAGTATTTAGTTGTTCCCTGCCTCAGCTGTGCTGAAAGTGAAAGTTAAAGCGAATGGCCCTGACTTGAAAGTACTCCGCATGCGCCCTCTGCTGGATACATTGTGCAATCACGTCTTTTGCAAGTAAGGACACAGCTCGTTCCCAGTGTTTATATTGGTGCATAATTGGGCCAATTATCACCGATACCAATATGTTCCCAAACGCCTATATTGACTTAAAATATCAATCCTACTCTATTCATCAAGCCAACAGAACTACTTTTTTTTTTTTTTTTAAATTGGCGTTTATTTAAATTGCATTTGTAGCATGCCTTCTCCAGTTCTATGGTGTTTCAGAGCAAAGCTTCTTTAAAACAGCCTGATGACAAATCTCTAAAGCCTCAGCTCTGTCACACCAGACTTTGTTGTTGAATCATAGGAAATTTATTGGAATGACTTGAGGAACATCTGATTATCATTTTGACACTGGAAAACCTCCAGTTTTCTCTTTTCAGGCCTCACGGGTTGGCAGCTCTATGAACATTTTTATAAGTGTTGAAAGCATTTTAGTATCTTTAAATGAAAGAACGTCTGCTTTTTGCAACAGATTCTGGCCAAAAAATGTATTCTCATATTGGATCCTGTCGTTTGGCTATTGTTGTTTTAAAGTTTCCCAAATGGATATTTTTAGTGTAGTTAATTCCAAGTGACTACTTTTTAAAAGATCTTTTCATAAAGCCTACTCTTTTTGGCTTACAGGCATACTCTTATTTATTTTTTTCATTCCACCTTTTCTTTATACAGATAAATCACATTGAGCCTCGAAGACTCATTTACAAGCGATACCTGTTTGGACAGAAAAAAGTGTTTGCTATAAGTTTCTTTTTTTTTTCCCAACAGATTGAATTATGTGTTGGATTATTTTTTATTTTGCCTGTTTGTTGTTTATGGTTCTGTTGCTCAGACTCAGGGCTGTGATGGCCTCAGATTTTTAAAGGCCGAGTTGGTGAAGTAGCAGACAGTCGGAGGTTATGCTGGGACAGACGGGCCTCCTCCCTTCCAACCCCTCCTTGAAGTTCCTTTTCATGAGACACGAGCCAGATGCTCAGCCATTATTGACAGCTGTGTGTGTTTGTGTGTGAGAACGCCTATATAAAATGTAAGTTTGGACTTTTTAAAGTAAATGTTTACACAGTGTTTCTGCAGCTTCTGTGCTGCTGTCATCAGTATGTGAGCAACAGAAGGGAGTTTTGTACAGTGAGAACAGAAACATTTAGATTTATACATAAAGGAGGCATTCAGAAAGCGAGTCAGAGGAAGAGTGGATGAGAAAGGAAGGAGTGAGCTGGAGATGGAGAGGAAATGTTTTATTTCCTCGATCATAAGGGGTTTTGCTGGCAGATGGGGCCCCCTGACCTTTTTCTTCAGAGACAATGAATCCATTTTATTTTCTGTGCAGCAGCCCAGTCCCTTCAGACCTTCTGTATATAAGATTTTGTGTCACATGTGCATTTTTTTAATCTATGTATTTATCACTTGTGTGCATGCACATAAGAAGCTAGCTGTAGGCAGTATTTCTACTTTGTTTACAAAAATGGACTGGAGACTGCAGTAAAAATCTAATATTACTCGTCTCCCTTTGTCTTTGTCTCCAGGTGAGTCTGGTCTTGGCAAGTCGACTCTCATCAACTCTCTGTTCCTAACTGACCTGTACTCCAAGGACTACCCTGGACCCTCCCAGCGCATAAAGAAGACTGTGCAGGTGAGCTCACTCAGCATTCGCTCAGTTTGATTTGGCATCAGGCTGACTTTGACATTCATTCCAAGTTGCAGATGTTTAGCAGATGTCTGTTATTTAAATCTTTATCGACCTCACCTTGCCAGGACCATCATCGTCATGAACGTGATGAGTCCCAGTAGTTTGGGCAGGTTACCAAGAATATCTCTCGTTCAACTCTTTCCTTAAATACAATTTTCTGCAAGGGTTTGATGATTGATGCCATTTGTTCCACTATCTTCATTCCAACTACAATAATAAATACAGGTCAAGTGTGGGAAACTGCAACAGAAAAAAAACTTTTATTAAAAAAATATATATATATTTCCTGTTAGCCTAAATAAATATTTAACTCATCTCTATTTTTAAACTGAATGTCTGATTTCCCTTGTTTTTGGGAAGATCTTGTCACATCCTTAACCTTTTTACATTTTGTGGTACAAACTTTGCACCATAAAATTAAAAAGTTAATAATTTCAGTTTTTTTATTGTCATTAAGTCATAAGCTTTTACTGGCTTCCACAATTGACTAGTTCCTCTTCAAAAATAACCACGGACATGAACATGATCCGTTACGAGTACATACGTCAACGCTATGCATTCCTCCTTTGTGGCCAAAACAAAAGACTTGACAATATTTTGTGGGGGTTGCCCTGCAGGAACAGAAGATAACGTCAAGAGTCTGATCCAAAAGGTGAAAAGGTCAAAGCCAAACTATCGTTGACTTCAAACAAAAGTGGAAACTTGATGTGATTCACATGAAAGAACTTCCTCCAAAGAATGCTTGATCATTTAAATCTGTGGTTCTGTTAGTTTTTCCATATGTCAGTGTTTTATAGTTGTGTATAAAAAAAATCTTGTTTCCATATCATTAAATATCCTAAAGACAAGTACCTATACACATAAACATGACAAGGACCATATTTTATAAGCAAAACAAACAATTAACCATTAAACAAAAGCCTTTACATGTTTTTTCTTTTCTTATTGTGGTATTGTCAGTTTGCTGTATTAGGTTAAGTTACTCTGTTGTCACTGAGGGTTAAAGGCAAAATAAAATCAAGAACCCAGATATTCTATGGAGGAAGAAAGTCATGTGAAAGAAGATGAACACTGAGGGGAAACAGCCACAGGGTTTAGTTGTGTCCTTTTATGGTTATGACAAACCATTGAGGAGGAGGAAGGCTTCATCTGAAGGAGAGAAGAGGAAGAGAAGCAGTTTGTGGAAATGAACAAATGTGTGGGGAAACATGAAGGAATTCGAAGGGAAACTACCCTGAAGCTGAGGGAAACAATGAAGTCGAGAGGAAAGAGCTGTATGAAAAGCAGACAAGTCGAAGGGGTGATGTGATGGGGGTGGGGGGGGGGTGGAACAGAGCTAGAGCCTGAGTGAAGCCTTTGGGAGTATAGGGTTAGGAAGGCGACAAAGAACTCCCAAGGAAAACATGGGACTGGGTGGGAGTCTGTATATTCCCTGAGGTTTGAGAGGGTCAGTAGTAGGGCAGGAACAATCCCATGGAACACGACACCCTGCTACCCAGTACCCACCCTTCATCACAATCTGCTTTCAAACTGAAACCTCACCCTGTCTTTGGTTAATTCAGCAATTCTGTAATCAGTCTCGGAACTGCTCTCACCCACAAACACATGACGGTAGTTTTTCGCTTTGCTGCTCTCAGCTGATTAGTAATGTGTCTGTGTACATTGGTGGGTGATAAAACTCTTCCACAGTTCAACAGAAATGAGGATGGGCTGTTCAGAGGACGCACCAGTCCTGCATTCAGTTGGGCTTTAACTTCATTGTGTTTTCAAATTCCCGTTTAGCTTCTCAACTTGTGCAATGTTCCCATTGAACTGGACACACAGCAAGAATTATGTAGAATAAACGGTCACTGGTTCTTGGAAAAACCCTCCTTCACTTTTTAGCTGTAATGTTACATTTTATTGAACTCTACAAGTTAAATTCTCCACCCTGTACTCTTTACGGGCGTCATGTTATCATCTGGTCAAGAGTGAGTTAGCAGCCTTCTATTTAATTGTTTGATTAGTACAGAAATTATTCAAAATCCTCATTTGCTTGGATTTATTTTATTTATTTTGCACTGTTGTTCCATGTTTGTAAAATTGCCAAAAAGAGTTTTATGTTTGGTAATGTCAATTGGCTGTGGCGACCATCTTGAATTGGATGAGCTTCAAAAGCTACCTTATTTCCCAGACTATAAGTCGCTCCAGAGTATAAGTCGCATCAGTCAAAAAATGCCTCATGAAGAGGGAAAAACAATATATAAGTCGTTTCGGAGTATAAGATGCATTTATTTAGAAGTGTATTTCACAAAATGTAAGAACAGACATTTAATCTGGAATAACAACACACAGAACATACCTGGGATCCTGAACACGCTTAATTAACATAACAGGCCAACGAGTCCTACAAGTAAGTTACTGGTAAATTCACCAATCTCATTCCACATCACTTTTGGTGGCATTTTACTTGTTAAGTTTTTCTCGGTTGTCTCCAAGTGATTGTTTGTGGGGGGCGGGTAGCAGTAGAGGAACAGCATATAGTTGTTAAAAACCTAGAGGGCCTTCTCACAGGTGCAAATGGTAATGTTTACTCTGGTTCATGTCCGTATGAATGAACATTGAATGCAGCAGTCAAAAAGTGCATCATGAATAGGGAAAGAAATGTATATGTCACTTGAACTACAAGTCGCAGGACTGGCCAAACTATGAAAAAAAAGTGTGACTTATAGTCCAGAAAATATGGTAATCAGAAGTAGATGGACAACTAATGACTTTCCCGAAAGTTTCATTAGAATCCGTTTAGTGGTTGATGAGATATTTTGCTAACAGTTTACTTTAAATATTTAATGGCAAAATTGAGATTAGGATCGTCTCAGCTACAACCACAACAAACTTTAGGTTAGTATCTAGAAAACTGACCGAGTTATTGGCATTTTTATTCATTTGTTTTTTTTAGTCAGTTGACTGTGGCAGCCTTATTAAATCTGATCGACTCCCAATGTTAACCAGTTGTAGATGAACGTTCAACAATTAGTTTCTGCCAGTTTCATTAAAATGTCAAGTGGTCCATGAGATACACACGCGTGTATTACTGTTGAATTTTATTTGTTGATGCAAGGGAACAGTTTGAATGCACTGTGTTTGAGTCTGTAAATCTTAAGAACCTCCATCTCCCTGCACACTATGAGCTCTGCATGGGTTTACATGCTGTCCTGAAGTAAACGTTGGTGTTTGTAGGCATGTGAGATGTAGGTTCTGTGGTCTGAGGCAGACCAGCTCCAAGTATTTATATTTCAGAACAATTTTCTGTTTTTGTCGCTCACTCACATCCCCCCCAGATCATATTGCTTTTAAATGATGGTTTACAGCCTGAAGGGGAATTTTTGAGGTTTTCTCTCTATCTGTTTTTCTTCACAGAAACGTTGAAAATAGCACATTTGGTTTTGAGCTGGTTGACATTTCACGCACAAACACCTTTTACACAAACTCTCATTTAAACGCACACACTGGGCACTCTGTAAAGTTCAAATTCGTCAAATGACTTTGGTGTGTGATTTATACGCTCCGTTATAATGTCTGACAGATTATCTCGAGGTTTGTGGAAACTGAGGAATGTTTGTGTTCGAGTTAAAGAGCTGTAGTTCAAGTTTAAAGGGTGATCCTAAAATAACTTGATGGGCTTGTGAAAGTATGTAACGGAGCAAAGACACGCTTCAGGAAACAATGGATTAGACTAAACCTTTTTTTTTCTTTGTCTAACCCTCAAACAAGTTGCGAAATTCTATTTTGTTTTTTTTACTTATCAGTGTACTGTATATACTTTGTATACTGTATTTACTCTGCTTTATTTTCTATGCAGTTCAATGAGCATATTATTGAAGCAGTTGACCAAATCAGTTCTTTAAACTTCCGTGCAATATCCTCTGTTTTGAATAGTTGCTAATAAAAATGTGCCGTTTTAGTGAAACTTAATTTTTTTTTTTTTATTGTATCTTATAAAATAGGTTTGAACCTGAGTGATTAAAACACCTGTTTGCCAAGAAAGTTTGCAAAATAAACTGCATATAAAAATGAAGGGCTCCCTACAAATGATGTCACTGTTTGATTTGCCTCTCTCTGGCTGCAGCAGTATGAATCATAAACTCGTTTGAGTCCTTCAGAGGAGTGGCATGTGAAATGTCAAATGTCTATATTACATTTGTGACAGACTTCTTGCAAAGATTTTCCTTCCAGCTCCCCAAGTTTAAAATGGGATACCTGCCAATGAGTGTGTGAATAGAGCATTCTTTTGGAGGATTTGCCATGACTGTGTGTATGTGCTGCAGGGAGTTGCTTCTTTTAAACTCTCTTCTGCAGACTTGTTTGTTTAATGATAGTTTAGATGTGTTCAAATACATCTGGAACTAATATGTGCGCACACAAAATGCACAGCAAGGCCACTCATTCACTATTCTGGATAGATTGTGAACTAAACAGACATTTCCTAGCTGTACTTTTTTAGCATAATGTTTTCCCTCTACTCGCTTTAGACAACTCCCCTTCAAACCTCCTCTTTATTTCCAGCTGAGAAACGAAGTCCAAATCTCCTCCTGTGAAGTGCATGTGTGAACAGCACTTGTAGGAGAAAAAAAAAGTCCAGCCGATCAAATGTTCTGCATATTCTCCTAAAAATCCCTAGTGTGTTTGATAGAGCAGACTTAAAATTGATTTATGAATGCATGTGTAAATGTGAACTGGTGGATTAGAAACGCATTGTAAAGCTCTCTGTAGAACTCAACCAGAGTTTAAAGGGCGCTCTAAATTAGTGCTCAACATTCTGTGCACAGTGTGCATGCTCTCTCTTATAGCTTTGTTAAAGAACACATAAAACATCTGGAAATAACTTTGGATTTTCTGAAAAACCTAAGAGCTTAAGCATAGTAATTTAATACTTTCTTGATCTTTAAAGACTAAAGATATTACCACTGTAAGTTTATACTCTAAAGATTTTGTGCCATGGATGCATGGAGATAAAACATCACAGATAATCATCATAAAACATGTTAAAGCCTTGAAATGCTAGCTGTCCCTTCTAAATCATTAGAATATTCCTACAGAGTTCTCAGATTACGACCTACAATCTTACTGTTCTGCAGGTAGTTGGTGAATGGTGTTCATTAAGGAGTCTCCAGAATGTCTTACTTTCACGGGGTTGTATGAGTCACAGAGGTGTCGAGTTGTATCCAACAAAGTCAGGTCCTCTGGATGTTTTTTTTTTTTTGTTTGTTTTTTTTTAAACCTTTTGTCTTTCGTCTAGCACTATGTGTCATTTATAAGACTGAGTTTGTTGCAGACGAAAAACGTTTCAACAAAAAGAATCCGTCCAGAGGACCTGACGTTGGATTTTTTTCACGTGGATTATTGAGCAAGAATCAGGAGATGTTAAGTTTTATGTTTTTAACGAGTTCAGAAAATTTGTGTGACAATAATTTACTGGGGCAGCATGGTGGTGCAGTTGGTAGAGCTGCTGCCTCTCAGCGAGCAGTTTGCCTCCCCGGTAACAAATCCTGGTCCGGGGACCTTTCTGGGTGGAGTTTGCATGTTCTGTCCGTGCATGCTTGGGTTTTCTCTAGGTATTCCGGTTTCCTCCCACAGACCAAAAACATACATGTTAGGCTGATTGGTAACTCTAAATTGTCCCTAGGTGAGTGAGAGAGTGAATGAATGGTTGTCTTGTTTATCTCTGTGTCCCTGTGATAAACTGGAGACCTGTCCAGGGTGTCCCCCGCCTCTCGCACAGTGACTACTGGATATGGGCACCAGTGACCCCCATGACCCAAAAAGGAAGAAGCGAGTAAAAGATAATGGATGGATGGATAATTTACCTTTAATTGATTATTCATAAAACCTGTCTTCATTTCAAAATTGCACTCCCATCAGATTGAATTATAAACTTGGAGGCAGCTATTGAGATGGATACAAAGCAAGCCGAGGCCGGTATGACACTATCAGAGGTGGACAACACAATTCTTGAACATTCAAAACAACATTCTTGCGCCACCAAGAATTCAGTGTTGGTTTTAAAAATAGTCTTTTTTTTATTTATTTATTTTTTAATTGGCCGCTCTAAACGCAACTTCGGTTTGTAAATAATCACGAGTCGGTGAGACTGCAACAGAAAATTTACATGTTGTCTCACAATTTTCCAGCAATTTTAAGATTCCAACTAGTGCCCACCAGTCACAGCTCAGTGAGATGCACCTCAAGTATAAGCTAGATGTGTAAGTGGCATAGTCATACTCTGATTTAGGCTAAATATACTTTACATTTCCCTGAAACTGAACTACAGTAACGCCTAAATCAGTTTTACTTTGTGTTCTCTTGCTTTCCCAGCTAATTTAAGGGATGTTACAGTACAATATTACTGTAGTTGTTGTTTTTTTATATAAATACATTAAGATAATAATATTTATTCATTACAAGTTCTAGTTGCATGTAGACAGGAGTTAGTTTTGGTTTAATTCCTTACTCACTTGCAGCTGATTTTGGTCTGAGATGTGTGGGTGTATGCTGATGATGCATCATCACGGCCCTGAGTGGGAGAAGAAAGTGTCATATTTTTAGCCATGCACGCCAGTATTTGTGGGCAGCTTCATTATATTAAACTGTGAGATTATCTGTGCACAGCAACAAATAATCACAAGTATAAATGTCGTTTTTTTTATTTGTTGGTTTCAGGTCGAGCAGTCCAAGGTATTGATCAAGGAAGGAGGGGTCCAGCTGACTCTTACCATTGTGGACACGCCAGGCTTTGGAGACGCAGTGGACAACAGTAACTGGTGAGGAGTGCCAACGAACTTGTACACTACGCTTGTTCTTCATTTCTCAGTCGTCTCCCCTGACACCTTTTTCTCCATGTTCTTAGCTGGCAGCCTGTTATAAATTACATTGACAGTAAGTGTGAGGACTTCCTGAATGCAGAGTCGAGGGTGAACCGGAGATCCATGCCAGACAACAGAGTTCACTGCTGTCTATACTTCATTGCACCCTCTGGACACGGGTAGGTTCAGCATGAAACGTCAACAGCAGCGATGTGAGCTGAAGCAAGAGAGCTGGGAACACGTATTTAAATATGGCATTGATTTTGTCTCCTATAATGTCAGTCTCTAACTGAGCAGAAGAGTGAAGTAAATGCTTGTCTGTGTCAAAGACAATAAGACTGCCAGTGTTTGACCCACTAAGGTTACATAATCAAGTTCTGCTCATGCGCACAAAAAGATCTGTTCTCCATCCCTTGAGCAGCCAATCAGAGCAGAGTCTTAGATGCACACAGAGGAGGACAAACTCTTTCTTCTTTTACCCTACAGCATCTCGTATGCTCTGTGTGTGTGTGTGGCTGTGAATTTCTATAACTCCAGATCTTAGTTAATCGACTCATCACTCGGTTATTAAAAAGCCTGCAGTCTCAAGTCACTGGCAAAATGTTTAGTCATATTAATAGTCTATCATGGCATCACAGTACTCTTATTTTTGTAATATTTAAACAGTAACTCGTACAGTGTTGGAAATCCTACCGAGGTTACACAGATTTAATCTTAGCCCATAATTTCTGTCACATGAGCTCAGCACAAAACTAGTCTGTGCTCTTACATTTGAAATTTAGGTTTTGCAGCTTTAGAAATGATCTTAAATGGGCTTTTTTTTCATTCCTTGTCACTGATGAGACGATGTGTAACCGGTTTCTTCTGGTTTACCTATCATTGAGATTTACTGTCGCTACACAGGAATTTACCAAAATGCAGTTTCAAAGAGAAGCCTGGCCTTTTAAAAGTCCTGTGCAACAAGCTGCTTGAAGGCAGTTGGAAGCTGATCTCTTCAGAAGTCACTGACGTGTGGCAGTAAAATGTGGAAACCTATAATAAATGTAGCGTTAGAAGTAACTTACACGTTCATGTTTCCAGACTTAACTAGGATGGTTTATTCCCAAGAATTCCAGAGAAGATTCCAGCAGCAAGCCCAGTTCTCTCTGACTGAACTCCATCTTATTAGTTTCATAAATTACCGCCTGCTTGTAGAAGCAAATTTATGAGTTTGAAATAACTTAAATTCTTGAATAGTCTCTTTTCTCATCATGTCTCATCCAGCTCGGAGCTTGACTTTGGTTATATCTGGAGCTGCTTTCACTTCATCGCTTCTGGAGCCGCAGTGCACACAAACTTTGTCTTCTCCTGTGACCGCTGCACTAAACCACTGAACGGTGGTTTCACGGCCCTTCTTGTGTTGAACCCACGTTCACAGTGCCGTATTAACACACAGCATGTATTGTTTACACGCACATAAAGAAAAATAACTGTTAATACAGGCTCGGCTGTGTTTAGTGTCTTTTACACTGTTGTTTTTACATACTTGCCTTCCTACACACAGCCCTCTGAGTTCACGGTGTCAGGCAACAGAACACCCGTTTGACACTCAGTAGTGAAGACCCTGGGTTGGACAGTTCTGTTCAGTTTGCTCCTTGTTGGCTTTGTTGTGAATAAATGGACAGTGTTGTGTCCCTCTGCTGGTGACCTGCTGAACTGCACCCTCTTTACAAACTGCACACAATTTGCTCTTGTGAATTTATTCTTATGAGTCACTCTCCCTACCCTGACCCATATAAAACAGTTTCCCTACGTTCCAGTGAAGTTCACAGATGTAGATGGCAGCACGTGCAGTGCCAGCAGCTGGATTGTTTCTGACCCTGAATGTTTTGACAGTTCATGCACATACAGATCCCTACTAACAATCTCAAGATGACATAACTGACCAGCAAAAGACCTTTGCACAAAAAAACTACTGGATATATACAGCTATTCCTTTATTTTATTGTATCACTGTTTTATTTACTTTCTACTGTTTGAGCATTTTCTAAAATGTGTTACTTTGGGATGTTCATTGACTGTAAAAAGACTTCCATTTTTTTCTGTCTTGTTTTAATCTCAGTGTTCTTAAGATGAACATTTGACCTCTCACAGAGAAATACAAGCTCACGCTAAATCAAAGGAAATGTGAATTCAGTGGTGCTCTGTTTCTCAGCCATTTGTATTTTGAGCTTCAGTTTTATTCTTCATTGTCTCTCTTCAGCCTGAAGCCGCTGGATATCGAGTTTATGAAGAGACTCCATGACAAAGTCAATGTCATCCCTCTTATTGCAAAGGCTGACACTCTAACCCCCGAGGAGTGCCAGCTGTTCAAAAAACAGGTGTGTGTGTGTGTGTTACAATACAAAGACTGAATTCTGATTCACAACAGTTTTCTAAAGAATTGTATCCTGCCAGTGGACAACAGCTGATGTGACTTTCCAGACGTTTGTTGTGACAGTGACACAGCTGGACACCAGAAAGTTATATTTTAACCCACATTACTGTAAAGATGGAGACAATTGTATTTGTTCACATTCCTCAAACCCATAATCTTTCATTGTAATAAATAAACTAGCTTTCACTGATAAATAAGTTTGCTTCCCAATTTGTTCTTCTGAAAACTAGTTTTCCTGTTGAGAGCTGAGCAGTCAGGCTGCAGCAGGCTGTTTGTTACTCTACAGCTAGATGGTGCCGATGGTCTTTTGGAGGCTGATGGTCTAAAGCACGGCTGTCAAACCAAAGGCCCGGGGGCCAAATGTGGCCCTCCATAAAATCTTATCTGGCCCCAAAATGTTATTTTAAATGTAAAATACTTTTATCACTTTAATTTTTTCAGTAATCTTTGATTATGATGTCAAAAATGCAAAAGAAAACGTCAAATGAGACCAATTATTGAGGAACCTGCAACCAAGAAAAGATGTTCGGTATCTAACTTGAGTTAATGTAGATTCTGAAACCGGCCCTTAGTTTGAAAAAGGTTTTAATTTTGGCCTCTTTTGTAAGTGGGTTTGACACCCCTGGTCTAAAGCTTTAAACATCTGTTGCCGTTTTTTTAATTTTTGACACAACGGAGAACAATGGGAAAGATTAGTAACCTTAAAAATCGCTGCTTGAAAAAATCTGACGTTACTGATTAACAAATTAAAGAGCGCACAATGACAACAGAGACAACATTAACATTCAAAATACATGTTTGGTTATTTTGTTTTTATTTTCAGCTGTGTATTTTTATCAATTTTGGCTATCTGGTGACAAATGGGACAAAAAAAATGTTTTTAGCCATTTATAAATGTATCTTGCTTTCTGAGGATCATGTATTCACAGCACCTGTTTAAAGACTTCATAATTTTACACGAAAAACATTTTAATGCAGCTCTCTTTTAAGAGGTTATTCTGCGACTGAGACTGAAGTTTTAGCTGCAGACTGTAGTGCAGATGTCTCTGAGTGCCCATTACAGTTTTAATGCTGATCTTTCTCTCTTCCAGATAATGAAAGAGATACAGGAGCACAAAATAAAAATTTATGAATTCCCCGACACGGAGGACGATGAAGACAACAAGCTCATTCGAAAGATTAAGGTAATCCATCAATAGTGATGGGAATTCCTGCAGTTTTTGGCAAGTTAATTTTGATACGTTTTTACATGCGATTTTACAACAGCTTTCACATTGAAGTGAACATTTTTCTCAACCTGTTTTTGTTCAAGTAGAAACTCTTCCAAGGCTTGAAAATCAGCAGCTTGCAAAATAAAATATTAAAGTCTGTTATTAAGATTTTTTTATTTTATTAAATTTTCCCCCCATGGACCTTGTCCATGTTGATCACATGTTCTGACCATCTCCTTCTCATCATATATTTAAAAACCACCTAATCATTTTAGTAGCTACTAACAAACCAAACCTTTAATAAGGGGAAAAAAAATAAAAATTCATGTCGATAAACAATGTTCAAGCCAATCAGTGAATCCAAAGCAAGGTCTTGATTTTTTTTTTTTTTATTTTAGTTTATTTTTTTATATGGTTAAAGATACTCAAGTGTGCGTTTTGTTTTGTTTTTTAGGAAAAAATGCCTCTGGCTGTGGTTGGCAGCAACGTCGTCGTCGAGGTTAATGGCAAGAAAGTCAGAGGTCGCCAGTATCCATGGGGCGTGGCAGAAGGTAAGTTTGCTCAGGTCCACCACCACAAAGGAAAAAAAATATTTTTTTGTTTTTATTTGTGGATGTTTGAGAAGCAGGTTTTAAGTCTTTGCGGATGGTAACTTGTAAATGAGCTGTTCAAGACGATAAAGTAAAAAAACCTGCACTTGTTAGTTTTTGCAGGTGGGTGTGTTTGAAAGAATCCAGCAGGCTTTTCTCATTCTGAATGAAAGAGACATGAGATCTCTGAAAGTATGAGAAAAGATGCATGTTCTCATTAGTGACCCCTTGTGTCCATTCAGTGTGTTAATTACTGGGTAATGTATGACTTGTCAAAATGCAAAGGCCTAAACTAAACTGTTGATGATACAATGTCCACCTTGTGATTTGTTTTTAAAAAGTTATAAATAAAAGTTCTATAGTTATAACGCTCACATTTTAGATCTGCGTAGTCTTTCATAGAGTAAATGTTTCATGGATCAAACTGATGATAATTTATAGGGATGCACGAAATTATCGGCATGGTATCGTTATCAGCCAATATTAGCAAATTGACAAAGACTATGCAGAATAATATAGAATTTTAATTCCACAACAGAGAAAGCTATGTAGTCTCTGTAAGTAGGTCTAGGGAAAAAAGATACTGGTATTGGTTATCGGCCAAATAAGTTTTAACATATCGGATATCGGCCAAAAATCCAATATCATGCATTACTAATAATTTATAAATTATACGTTTATTTAGAGAAACGTATCCAGGAAATTTTTAAAAAGTATTCCAGTATTAAAAATCAATCATCACTTGTAATGAAGCATGAAAATAAAGTTTATTTCAGGGTTTAACCTGGAATTGTAGAGCTTTAACTTGAACAAAAAAAAGACAAGATATTTAAGAGGGGACACAAACTTCCATCATCATGGCTCTTTGTTAGATCTTTATTATCCAAGTTACTCATTTATACGTATTCATAAAGTTCCCACTCAAATCGACACCAAAGGATAAAAGGGCTCAGTTTTATACCAAGAACGAGATCAGAAATCAAAACATGTTGGACCGGAGTCACTTTCAGTGCAGACATTAAATCAGAAACAGCTGTCCGGTCACTGGAGTGTTGTTATATCCCACACTTCGTACAAAACCCTCTAGTGACAGATAAAGGATGGTTTAACTGTTGAATTTTGACAAGTGAGAGGTTATCCAGTTTCTTTTGTGGCCTTCCCCTCTCTCCTTCAGCACAAACGCGCACACGAACACTCTTGATCCCGATGGGGGATTCTGGAAAAGGAGAACAGGCATCATGATATCTCGGACTGCCACATTTCCTTTTTTATCTTTTTGTTTTGAGCCTTGTACACTGTATATATCCTTAAAGGAATAAAGTGAGATGCCGTTTGTTGCTTTGTGGTTGACCGTTTATCAGTCATTCACTGTTTCATTCTTTTTCTCTCTTTTCCCCCCTTTATTTCTTTGTCTATTTTATTTCATGACTGACAGAGGGCATTTTTGGTAAACAACCCATCCTTCTCTATGTTTTGCCCAGATTTTTTTTTTATCCTCACACCTCTTGCCTCAAATTAAAAACCCAGCCTCCTCCTGTCAGAATCACCTCCATCACCTTCTTTCCCTCAGTTTTTGTTGCTTTGCTGCCTCATCATTAGGCTGATGGTCAAACCAATGCTTTAATCAGACTTGGGCTATAGACTGAATATCTCCTAAACTCTAAACCAGATCTTCCTCTGGGAACAAAACTGAACATGGAAATGGATTTTTATAATGGTTCTAACAAAATGAAGTCTACTTTAATTGAAAGGTGACAATGAACTCTTTGTGTCACCATTATTTACTGCAGAACCACTGTTTTTTTTTATTTATTTAATAAAGTAAACCTGGAGCACTAACTTCAGTGAAATGTTTACATATTTCCAGCCATCTTTTTAAAAGAAAAAGAGTGAAACATAATACAGCTTGTATCTACATCATTTTTTTTTCAGTTATTAGTCATTTGTATTATGGTATCTGTAAATGAGATGGCCGAAGCTCTATCAATATTCACTTGGAATTATTTTTGTTTTCTTGGATTGGTCCCACATAACTTTTTTTTTATTTAAAATTGTTACGTTTTTATAGTTTTGAATATTTTTTGTGTATAGCTTTACAGTATTTAGTTGCCATGCCAACAGTAATTGCTACAAGCTATATTAGAGCAAATTTTCTGCAAACAAGAGACATGAGCAGTGAGATGGAGTCGGGCTTAGCCTGGTTATCCAAGTTGTTTAGAAATTAAATGAATACTTCGGTCATTCTAGAGTGGGTTTCTGTAGAACTGTAAGCATGCCCAAACGTTAGTTTTCCCCAATTTTACAAAAATTATTCCCCAAAACCACAGTGATCACACAATTCAGCTACGGCCAGCCTAACGTAGGCCAATCATGTGACTCGAGCTAAAATGTTATTTCCTGCGTATTCAGTCAAGTGCTTTGTTTACATTGAGTGCATACCTGCATTTCAATATATCTGGAAATCCACTGGAGTAAACGCTTTTAACCTGCATTATTTGAAGTCCAGTATAACCATTTCATATCTAATTTCATAGTTTGCAGTGATTACCTCTTAAAGGCATTTTGATGTCTTCAAGTCCATCTCACTGAGATCCACTTATTTAAAACATTCACAATATTCTGACTGCTCAGGTTTGCCTTCCTTTGACACTGTTGTACTATCTGGCATTCTATTCAGTTTACTTCTAAAAGCTGAAATCAGAAGTAGAAATTTAAACAATCGGATTTAAAATCTAATTGGAGATCAGAAGTTTTGCCCCAGGTCTGATGCTGCGGATGGAAACAACTTGAGGCTGTTTGAAGCTACGTCAGCAGTAGAAACATCATTTTTAACGTTTCCTTCTTTGATCCTGAACCTCTCTTCACTACGCAGCTTGGCTTCTTTGTAAGATGAGCTGGAAGGTGCAGAGTGAGGATGACATGAAGGCCTCGCTGTATCACTGGGTCAAAGAGGGGACTCTAACATCCTAACACATCGCTTATCGGGTCATAAATGAAATGAAACGTTAATGTTTCTCAGACGGGCATGGAGCATCTCATTTAAAACATTAGGCAACATGCTGCTTGTCATAAATCTTCACTCGTTAGCATTCTGGAATTTAAATTTTAAACTTGTGACATGGTGGTAAAGCATCCTGCACAAACATACGCATGATTTTAAATAAAAGGCTGTGTGCACTTATTTATTTTTTTATTAAGCTAATGCAGTTCATTATCATGGCCTAAGTGAAAACTGCCAGTAAACCACAGCGCTCGGGCTCAAAACACCCGATTTACTGCAACAATTTTCTGACACCGGGAACTTGATCCTGATTTAATAAAATGCTTGAATCAAAATTTCTAAAGCAGCAGTAGGAAGTTGGCAGTCAGCAGTCGGGTGTTTTTTGTCATTTATTAATTTGAACTGTAAAACTTGGTTATAGCCTCTTTTTTTTTTCCTGTGACCCCCATGTAGCTCCTCTTACCATTCCTTTAGGCTTGCACCCTCAGCTGGTCATGCACAGACTTTCTCTCACACTCCCATCCAACCACCGCACTCCCCCTGCAAGACCTGTTCTCTTTAACCGGTCCACTTGGACACATGCAGGTTATAATCTGGGCCGATTCTGGGCCAAGTCTGAGCGGTAACAAACCCAGCCACTCCAGACCCAGATTTAGCCCTCTGCTGTGTGCAGTCAGTAACTCAAACACCGTCCCCCTCCCCTCCGTCAGAGCTCCCTCCTCTAGAAGAGACAGGAGGTCAGTGGCTGGTTTGGGAGGCCATGGGCCGGGACAGCTTAAGTTTCATCAATGGTAAGGTGTCCTCCTTATTCACTCCACTGGTGGTGATGAACTGCTGAGTTGGTTGGAGGTCAATTCTTCAGGGACAAGAGGAGGTGTGGAGATCCACCACAAACAACCTGAGCAGCGGTTTATCTGCAGTCCTTTTCCAGAATCCCATCTGACTTCATAACCCTGTCTTCTGTCTCAGTGAAAACTCACAACCATCCAACTAAACCATGAGAGCAGTCGTGTTTGCTGCTCGACCCATGTTTGTTGTGTAGCATCTGTGGGTTCAGCTGTGAGGGGCTGGGATCAGATAAGAGCCATGAGCCTTAATGATTGAATGCCATTTTTATTTTGATTTGTGGAAATGGGCTTAAAATGACAGAAACTTATTCAACTTTCTTTTTTTTTTTTACTTTAAAATCACATTGAAAAACCTCTGGTGGGATTTCACAGCAATAACGGAGAAAAAAAATAACTGCAGACATGCTCAATTTTAAAAAGCAACTGTTTGTTTTTCCAATTTTTCTCGACTTTTTGACAATTATTCGCTTTAAAACAATCCTGTCTGATCCTGCCCTGAAATCGCTTTATCCTTTGTTTTACTACAACTGAGCTTGTATTGTTGTTTAAACACTGATTACATCTGGAAACCTCCTTTAAAGTGACCTCTTCTTATTGACTGAATGAATTTTACATATTGTCTTATGTTCATTTTGACATATTTTAATGTTTATCATATTTAACAATACTCAGTGCATGTTTTATTCTCTGTAAATAACACACATTATATTAGTGTTGCTCTTTGTTGAGAAAATTTACAGCTGTCACAGCATTTTATTTTAACTTATTTTTGCAGTTGTCGTTCATGCTTCCAGTGTTTAACTCTGTTCTGAGACGAAGCAAAGACGACGTAGATAATCATTTTCACACGTTTGTGTCTCTCACTCCCTCTGGTTTCCTCTCTTGTTTCTCTGTTTCAGTGGAGAACGGGGAACACTGCGACTTCACCGTTCTGCGCAACATGCTGATCCGGTAAGAAATGTTTACTGACATGGGTTTAATGTGACTGGATTTCCCAACCCGTGAGGACTCCGCAGACCAATTTCTAATAATTTTGTGTAGAAAAGTTTGGCATGTTGAGGATTTGATGGGGTGTTTATGATTCAAAACCAAATTATATTTTTAAGTGCAATAAATTCTGGTGTCACTAACACTTTGGGTGATTGTTGTCTCCTCTTCCAAAGGACCCACATGCAGGATCTCAAAGACGTCACCAACAACGTCCACTATGAGAATTATCGCAGTAAGAAACTGGCTGCTGTCACCTGTAATGGAGTGGACACCTCAAAGACCAAGGGACAACTTACAAAGTAAAGCTTCAGTGGATACAATCTAAACTTTTAATGAAACACAGAAAATGTTCAGCCTCTGATGTAGAAACACTGAAGACTCTGTTTAATTCTTTGTGGAATAACTCTCCAAACGATGTACCAGTATGTTGGTTAAAAAAAAATAGAAATACTGATGTTTTGTAACTTGCATCATACCATTAGTTGCTTCCACATTGAAACTCCAACACATAACTTTATTGTAGAGACCTGGGTCAGGTGCTGCCGATTTGTAGATTGGTCATGTGGTAGGTAGGTGAGACTCTGACGTCCTGATGTTCAAACTTCAACTCGTTTCCCTGATCCACAGGAGCCCCCTGGCTCAGATGGAGGAGGAGCGCAGGGAGCACGTGATGAAGATGAAGAAGATGGAGGCAGAAATGGAACAGGTCTTTGAAATGAAGGTCAGGGAGAAGAAGCAGAAGCTGAAGGACTCGGAAGCTGAGGTTTGTAGTTGATCTCTTCTGAAGTTTAACACAGGCAGCTAAAACAAAGACATAGAAGAGCTGCAGAGGTGAAATAGTTTATCTACAACCCAGGTCATGTGACCTTTTTTGGTTTTGGTGCCTTAAAAAAAGACTTAAATTTGAAGACGTGGTTTAAAAACATCTGTTTTCATAAATCAGAAGAATTCAAACACGCAGCTATATATATGTATATGTATATATATAGATAGATAGATAGAGATAGAGATATAGATATAGATATAGATAGATAGATATAGATATAGATAGATAGATATAGATATAGATAGATAGATATAGAGATAGATAGATATAGATAGAGATAGATAGATATAGATAGATATAGATAGATAGAGCTGGTGTTAATTTGAGTTTCTCTTTTTTTTTTTTTTTTTTCTATCCAAAGCTTGAGAGACGCCACGAGCAGATGAAGAGGAACTTGGAGGCTCAGTACAAAGAGCTGGAGGAGAAGAGGCGAGTGTTTGAAGAGGAGAAGACCAACTGGGAGGCTCAGCAGCGGATTCTGGAGCAGCAGAAACTCGACGCCTCCAAGTCAGTAACACGTTCAAGCTTCAAGTGATGTCACTTCCTGTTGCCCTTCCACTACCATTCAGGGGATTTTTGAAGTCTTCAGCCCATGTGAATGGATATGACTCATAAGATTTAAAAATAATTTGCACAACTTAGTTAAAACATGGAAATAAATAGTTTAGCATCACTCAGTTAAAAATTTACCAACATCACTACAATATCTACAATTTCCATCATTTTGCACAAAATCTTACAGAAACCAAACATTTTTTAAATGTTGTAAAGATCTGAAGCAAACTGTCCTTATTAAAATAACATCCTTTTCTTTCTGATTGAATATCAGATATTCATTCCGTTCAAAAATTATTTTCTATATTTTGCACACGGTTAAAAAAAAAAATCAGCTGTCATCCTGAAATCATGATCGTTTGGATATAGAAATCTGTTAACGTAAACATCTGTACGCTTATGAGTCTTAACTTCTTTGTTTCTGACAGGAATATGCAAATGAAGAGTTTTTGTGCTTTAGCTATAAATATTTTATTCTATTTTAACAGTTTGTGCCACTTTAATGATTATAAATCAGTGGAGTATTTTATTAATTATTAAGGGACAGTGCACATAAAAATATTTACCCTGAACAAATACCATTACAGTTTGGAATTGTAAGCATTTAAATTATGTTTTAAACTAGTTTGCTTTAACACTACAATAAAAAAGGAAACGCTGTGGTTGCACATTACATTTCTGGATCATGATAAAAGTGGAAAACATACAAAGATTTAAGAAGACGCAGTGTCTTTACGTGTCAGTAGTCCCTCGTTTATTGTGCGTGTCACGTTCCATACACAGACATAGACATAAGTGGAAAAACTGAAGAAGGAATACTGTTTATTTTAGTATTTATATATTTTAAGGCTTTATAAACTCTTCCCACACTCTAGCAATGTTCTAAACTCTTGAACCTATGTCATTTTAACAACATACGTGTATGTACTGTGCAATACTGCAAAGTTTTATGAGGAACTCGCCAGCCTTGGTCCAGTTCTGGTCCAGTTCTGATCGACGCTCTGCATCCACTGAGTGCCAAAGTAACTAGTAATAAGGACCAAACTTTTTAGTCTGGTTCGAATCGGATCAAAACTTTCCTCCATTTTCAGCAGAAAACAGTGGCCAGAAACACTGTTGGCTTCTGGGTAGTGTAGTTTTTTCACTGGCCTTACAGTGTAGGCTTAAACTATAAAATGGCAATGCCTGTCCGTAGTTTTTTTTTTGTTTTTTGTTTTTTTTTACTTTTTATTCCATACAGTCTCAATCACGTGAGTAATATTAAAGTTGACAATCGTTGAAAAACCGCCAAAGAGCGAGGCTACGAAAGTCAAACCGCGAAGTTGTGAGGGACTACTGTCGTGATGAATGTTTCATTCAGTATAATCACGGTTCAGGTTACAAACATTTAAAAAATAATAATAATCTAATGGTGAAATGCCAGGAAGTTAAAAATATATAATATCCTGGTACTGATGGGGAAAACTAAAAAAATAATAGTCTTTTGAAAATTGGAGTCAATGGTTTTATTTGTCTCTAAAATCCGTTAACGTCAGCTGACACAGTTTTGTCGGTCATGAAACATTTTTGTCTTGATTGTGGTAAAATCCACGTTTCTCAGTTTAAGTGCTCGAGTCCTCCATTTGTGATTTTCGTGAAACCTCAGATGTTTCGATTATTGTTCTGTCTGGATGGCTTGTTGTTAAGTTACATCCAACAAGTATTCAGTGCTCACTGCAATAATTTGGTTTTATTTGGCTATAAAACATTTAAGATTTGTCTCTTCCTTGCCCTGATTTTTTTTTTTTTTTTCAATATTTCCATTCTGCATTCAGACTTTGCGAGAAATCCTAAAACTTTGACCTGTGTAGGTTTGTTTTGTTAAAGTGGTTTGTTTTCTTCGTAACGTTTTAATTTGTTTCTCACAGGACGATGGAAAAGAACAAGAAGAAAGGAAAAATCTTTTAGGAGCTCCCGCCTGAAAGCGCACACCTTCAGAAATCCTCCTCCACCAGAACCCACGACTCACAGACTCGTCTCTCTGCAGGGTTGGCTGCATCCGTGGAAGCTTTTTGTTTTTGTGGAAAGTGCATGTGTCGATATTCTATTTTCCTATATTTCCTGACAAAGAGGTGAAAGCGGTTCCCTCTGAGCGAGCGGGGCAGAGCGGACACATGGCAGGGACCACGCCCAATAACTTCCACACATATAGATCTGCAGGTAAACTGTTTATTTTATAGTTAAAGCTATAACAGGTGTGTAACAGGTTCAACACTTCCAGACCTCGTGCGCTTTGAGCAACTGGGAGGGAATTTATCTGAATGTGTCGGCAGCTGAGGAGGAAGAAGTCGGATGGATTGAAGGCCTGGTCGCACCACAAAACAGCTCAGAGAAATTATTATTCGTCTCATAACCAACTTCAGATAGCGTAGGAGCACTGTTCATTTATTATTGCCAAGTTTTTATATCATGCAAGTCAATAAAGAGTCGATACAAGTTGAAAGAAAACCTTCTGAATCTGTTCTTGTTTTTTTGTTTGAAAAACATTAAGTTTAAAATGTTTAACTTGGGGTTTATTCAGTAATAACAGGCATATAACATGTAATATTTCATTTGAAAATGTGTCTGAGTATGTTGAAGTAGAAATTTAGTATTTTTAAACGTACTTGTCCGGTTTGTAAATAAATATCTAATTCATATTACAAATATCAGTCAACTTTATTTTAGCCTTATACATATTTACTGTCGATTTTAAAAAATAATAATTCAAAAATGCATATTTTAACTTGAATTCTATAAACCTCTTTTAAAACTTTAATATCTCTGTTTTAAAAGTGTCTTATGTTTGATATTAGAGGTTTTATTTTTTTCTGCAAAGCATCAAAAGGTTTAAATGTTACGTAAAAAGCACCTGGTGTGGCCGGGCCTTCAGCTGTGATGAAGTGGCAGGCGTTTCGTGAATACTGTAATCAAACATTTTGACTCGATAATAAATGATAAATCAGAAGTGATAAGTTCTGATATTGTTTGCTTTTAATAATAACTTTATGCAAAAACCTCCTTTGGTGTCTAAAAACAGGTGTTTTATATTGTGTGTGTGATGGGTGTCGTCATGGACCTGAACCCTAAAGTCCTGATTTTTGACAATTTCTATTTTTCCCCCCACCCCACAATGAGTTAACATTTGATCCAAAACCAGAAAACACTCTAACTTTTGTTTTGAAGACTTTTTTTAAGACGTTTTTCTAAAGTAACCAAAAGTGTTGAGCGTCATTTTAAAGGCTTAAATTTCAAATAACTAAAACTTTTAAACCTTTGTCCATTCCTCAGAGTTGTAAGGTTTTATTTTCATGATGCCATTAGTGCTGTGTACAGTTACAACAGCTCATTATAACATCTTACTTTTCTAAAATGACACTAAATGAATTTGTTGTTTCAGACTGCCTGCTGCCTCATAAATATTAACAGCACATAAATGGTCATCTGTAGAAATCTGCTTATGTGTACAAACAGCAGGCTGTGCTGCACTTCTACTTTTTTTTAATATATAGCCAATTTGTTTTCAGAATCAATGAAGTTGTTTCCATACATACACACACACTCAGTATCTATGTTAACAGCTACATTTTGCCAATGCGTACAGCTCAAAACACCTTTATATGGAAAAATTAATCAAATTTCCTTAACCATCTTGCAATGCCCTGCAGAAATCCTGGAGTTGTGTATTTTTTGTAATATTTTCTTTATATATAAAAACTGTTTTCTGCTTTGTTTTATTGTTCTTTTAACTGTATGATATTAAAGTTATGCTTTAACGATAACTGCATCAAAGCATTTTTTTTGTAAACAAAAAGCTTAATTTTTCTGAATCTCTTGTAACGTTTGATACTTAAAATTGTAAACTTTAGAACAAAGTAATTCTAAATACTTTATTTAAATGTCACTTTAGCACAACCCCAATTTAAAAAAAGTTGGGATGTTGTGTAAAATGTTGATTAAAAATTGCAATGACTTGTTAAAGTTGACATATTTTCTTCACAATGGAATGAACTTATCAAATCTTTAAACGACATAATTTACCAATTTCACTGAAACAAAGGAGTAATTTATGAGTTTGATGGCACCAAAGTTGCAACTTAAGAGGTGCAGGAAAACTGAGGAGCATTTTGCAACTATTCAGAGTTTATATTCATATTTTGAATTTGTACAATGCTCAATATATGGAATTGTGTTCATCAATAGTGGACCAAGACAAAAAGCTTTTAGTGAATGTGAGGATGGAGAAAACTAATGTCTGTTTGGTTAAGATGTCAACATTTCAGATGAGTCACACGAATGAGACTGTTTAGTTCAACTCAGTTTTATTTACATCAAGCAATCTCAAGATGTTTTTATATAAAAAGATATAAAATTAAAGAAAGTATGTTCAAATCTTAATAAAAAAAAATCTAATTTAATCTAACTGGCTCCAGTTCAGTCAGATTCAGTTGCAAATTTACGACCCAGTTTTACTCCGATTCAGTAAAAGATGAAGCTGTTAATCTTTACAAACCAGCAGGTTGCATCAAATCTTTACTTTGCTGAAATCCACTGGTCAAGAACTGGACTGATCAACAGCAGAACCAGAACTGGGCTCTTGGGGATTGGGAGGAAAAAACAACTGGGCAGACTCGTCTGATTCAGTTAAAGATTCAAAATCTAAATTTCTTCATGATCTCTGTTGAGCATCTCATCATTCATGGATGTTGGTGTAAATTTAGCTGTTGCACGAGAAGTCCGTTCACGAGGGCCCTGAAAAACTATGGGCTTTGTTGGCCCATCTTTCAGTCTGGCTCACGCAGTATTTCCCTTTAGGAGTATCGATCCTGCAGAAAGATCAATATTAATATTGTTACATCGCAGTAAACAGAGTGGTTTTGTTTATCGAAATTTCAAACTTTGTATTTAAGACAATAAAGCACCAACTTACACAAATCCATTTTTGGAGCAGCTGGCATGAGTTTTAACGATGAACAAAATGTGAGCCTCTGGGATTCTTTTTGGAAAGAATTTAAAGCAGCAGGTTCCAGGCGTCATGTCGTTTGGCCCATGAGCTGTGAAATAATGAAATAACCGTTGTCTGTCATCAAGTGGCTTCATCTTCAGTGTGTTTGATGAGCAGTAAAATGTATCCAATTAGTTTTTTATTATTAGAAAATGTTCCTGTAAAATGCCAAAGGTTTCACCTTTGATTATTTTCATCTGTTCCACTTGAACATTATAAATACAGTCACTTATGAAAAGTTAAAAATGTGGTTTTCACGTAAAACTGGTGCATTTTTATAAAAAGATTTCCAGAATATTGCGTTAAGCGACTCCTGCTCCTGCTATCATGATAACTATATGTTATGTAGTGATGTAGGGACAGCTTTCGCTGTAACATACTACTAATTATTCTTAAAGCTACAGTAGCTCAAGCACAAAGAATATTAATTGTTTAATCAACACGGATTCTTTCTTTTTCGAGTTAAATTTCTTCCATGTGACCAAGATAACTTGTGGAGTGGTAATTAGTCACATGAGACGCCATTTTATCTTTGACCCATCAGAATAAATGTGGTCATTTATTTAACAGAATCAAAATTTAACATCAAAACATGTACACATTGATTTGCTGATCTGTTTCTGATTAATAACCTTGGCACGATTTACTAAACAAGACAACAGAAGATTACGGATTGAGACTGATTCATCTCTGAAGGCATCTAGCTTGATTTACTGGCGAATAGAAGTTTAAGAGAAGGAATAGATTTACAGAGGAGGTTTAGATGGATGAAAGTTATGTGTTGAACCAGAAAATGGCACCCTTCCTCCGAATCCAGCTCAGCCCTCCGGTACACTTCAGGGCGTCAACGGCTTGTTACCTGAGATGGTGGATACTTCCACTCCAGAACAGAGGTCCATTGGCACGCTCCCTTTTCAGCGTCTCCGGTCAGAGTGGCTGGGGTCGTCAGAAGTCGTGACGAAGTACTCAGTTCAACAGAATAGGCTTCCTTAGAAGTTGAGCATTTATTGCTCAGGTTGAGTCACAGCCGAGGCAGGCTGTGACTACGTTGGAATGGATGGACCCTTGGCACATGGTCAAATCCATCAGCTACTTAGTTCAGCTGTAAGACTCCATCAGACTGAGTCTCATCTTCGACTGGAAGTTCCGGGAAGACTGGAAAAGACTGAAGACTTGGAAGACTCGTGAAGACTGAATAGTTCCAAGAAGTGTTGCCTTTCATCCACTTCCTGTTACGTCGTACTTCCTGATTGGTTGAAACAACAAGCAGGGGTGTAGTTTTAGTGATGTCAGAGGGTCGCTAGGAGTCAGTAGACAGCAGAAATGTTGTAAGAACGGTTAGTACAGACAGAGAAATATTTTGAAGAAATGAGAGGATGCAGGTGCCAGCCAGTTCTTATTTACTGTCTGAGAGTTTTAAAAACAAGACACTTCGTTCTCATAACTTGTCTCTGACTTTTGCCCTCAAATCCACTCCTCATTCAGACAGAAGACTAAATGCACACTTACTACGTAAGTGTGCAGTGCTTGGACCAATACTCCTTACTTTATACATGTTTGCATTAGGTAAAGTTATTAAACAGCATGGGATAAATTTTCATTGTTATGCTGATGACACACAATTATATTTGTCCATAAAACCCAATGAATCCAATCAGCTACTTAGACTACAACATGTCTTAAAGACATAAAAACCTGGATGACCCTTAATTTTCTGCTTTTGAACACAGACAAGACTGAGGTTTTGGTTTTTGGACCTGAGCCCCTTAGGAATTAATTTTTCAGTCTTTCTCCCTCCTTAGATGGCATTAATCTGTCCTCCAGCTCTAATGTTAAAAATATTGGTGTTATTTTTGGTCAGGACATGTCTTTTGTCCCCCCCCCCATTCAAAATGTTACTAGAACCACCTTCTTCCACCTGTGTGATATCGCTAAAATTAGAAACATCTTATGTAAAAATGAAGCAGAAAAAAATGTAATCAAATGTTTACAGATGTTTAACAACCTGTGAAAATATGTCAAAATGCAGGAAATGGCATCTCTGTTATTCCAAATTTTCTGGGGGAGGTGTTTTGTGCTTTGTGTTCTCTCTGCTTTTCCTCGCCTCAGCTTGAGGTCTCATAACACTTTTTTTTTTTTGCCATTTTTTTTCTACTATGTTACAGAAAGAAAAAGCCAACACGTACACATTTCCGCAGTTTTGTTTAGAATGATGTCATCAAGTCACATTGCATTTCACAAATGTGTCAAATTAAACTGATTCTTTTTTTCTTCTTTTTTTTAAGTAAATGCTCTAAATTTGGCTTTACTTTGATAATGATTTTATTTTACAAGGTTGCATAAGAGGGCAGGAAAAAGTTAATCTTTCTCTCTGCGACCTACAGTCACTCCTCTGCTCGCTACAAGTGGGCAACTTGCACGATTTGGCTGAAGATAAGTCTGCAGGCTGCACCACGGATCAACAATTTCATGTGACGCATCAAAACCAACTGGTGTTTATCTGATCCTGATGTTTTCAAATGGGTCTAGGTCAAACAGTCAAAGATGGTGGAGATTATTAACACGTT